TTTCGTTTTCTATTTTTGTTCTGACTGCGTGTGTGTGTGTGGGGGAGGGAGGGGGGGAGGGAGGGGGGTAGTGTAAATATTATAACAGTTAATTAACAATCAATCTCTTCTGCAGCTTAACCTCAACAAAGTATTAGAGTCGAGATAAGATTAGCTGATATGAGAACACGGTCACAGGGCGAGTGTTTGGGCGCCATTATAATTACATCAACACTAAAAGGTCGACATTGTACCAACACTTTTTGTTTGGTATCCATTACCACGCCTTGATATGTTGACTCTCGGGAGCAAGATAACGCCAAGAGCCACGCGTCTGTTAGGTCTACGGGCGGTTACCGATACAGAGGGAGATTAGACCTTTAAGCCTTGTGTGGAGGGTTTGAGGGAAGACAGAGCTACACAACACCATTGTTAAGGGAAGAGGAGGATACCGCAGCGTCTTGTGGGATTAATTACTGATTATTATATGCCTAAGGTTGATTATTTCGACTTTTTTCAATGTGATTATCGACTTAACCGTCGTGATACATTTATTACGATTAAGAAGGAATTTAATACTAAAGAAGAGACTTGAGAGGCCTAAGACGCGCCCAAGACTACTAGCCCTTGTGAGGAAGTCTTAAGGTTGCGACTCAGACAGACAGACAGACAGACAGAGTAAACACTAAAACAAATCGTCCCTTTTCTCGTGGAAGACTTTGTATAAATAAAGAAATTGGTCAGTTAAACAATATTAAGTGAAAATGTTACGTTTTGAAATGAAATAAAGTCACAGAAATACGTCTTGAGTAAAATGCAGCAAAAATAATGAAGGAGGAAAAGACCGAATTATGGAGATGTTGACTAAGATCGAACACAGTGAACCACCAGTCTTAACTGAGGTCTTTATCGCATCAAAACTCTATGAATCACCTGGAGAATCACCACCCCAACTTATATCATCTAAAGATTAACCACCCTAACACTATTTGGGTTAGGTTAGGTTAGATTAGGTTAGTTAATCTTTAGGTGAAATAAGCTGGGATGGAGATCTAAAGCTATAGGTGTGGGCGTGTGGGTGGGCGAGAGGGAGGGCCGTTAGGTGAGTGTATAGGTGTGGGCGTGTGGGCGGGCGAGAGGGAGGGCCGTTAGGTGAGTGTATAGGTGTGGGCGTGTGGGCGGGCGAGAGGGAGGGCCGTTAGGTGAGTGTATAGGTGAGGGCGTGTGGGCGGGCGAGAGGGAGGGCCGTTAGGTGAGTGTGTAGCAGCACTTGGAAGGGTGAGAAGAGGGAAAGGGATGGAAGGGAGAGGGAGAGATAGGGAGTCAGACTGGTGTGCAGGTTCGATGTCGTGTTGACCGAGCAATTAGGATCAGCCACACACACACACACACACACACACACACTACCAGCTTCCCTTACACAAACGCCACAATAACCCTGCCCTCCGGATTTAATCTCGTTCGTATGTCAAATCCGACTTCATCATCCACAACCTTAATACACGTCATAGTAAACAACACCTCGTACTATCCACAAACTTGATCTATAAACACCATAAGTGGGGAGTTATATTGACGGCTATTTCGAGTGTAGATAATAAAAGATCTCCTCTCAATTTGGAGTGAAGGAGCCTGTTGGGATGAAGTCAATACTGGCTGAACTAACAGAGAGAATAATTATCATTGTAGACGAGGACATGATTCGATTTAGAAAGGAATTTGGGTGTTTACTCTCGTGGATGGATCAATTTGCCACAAGGGAGGGTGTTTCGATTCTGGGGTTATTTTCTGCTCGGTGGAGACTGCAGGTAGGTAGGTGTGTGTGTGTGTTCAACTGAGTCTAATGTGAATACTATAGCTTCCTTATCTGATTTTGTTTAGCTTGTGAAATGTTGATTATAGCTGTCCTCATGTCCTGATATAGGTTAAGGAATGTTAATTATACCTGCCCTCGCGTCTTAACCTAACCTAAACTAACCACCAGTTGAAGAAGACAATTATGGTGATGTTCCAAGAAGTACTTTTTTTTTTCACTTACTGGTTTACATGTCACTGCCGATCTCCGCCCCGCCCCGCCCCGCCCCCCCCCTGCCTGCCCTGCCCTGCCCTGTCCCGCTCCCGCCCTGCCCCGCCCAGTTCCGCCCCATCCCGCCCCGCCCCACCCAAACAACAACAATTACACAAATACGACAACAACTACATTTAAAAAACAACAAATATATTTATAACAACAACAATTACATTTAAAACAGCATCATAACCAAGAATAAAACATTAACTACAAACAAATGTTCCTATGAGTCTCCTTCACAAACTACAGGGAGAGGAGTAAGGACGCGCTGCCCCTAATTGGTATGGACGTGGCGGTGGACCAAATTGGCTGATTATTGTGTCTCTGGTAACCAAATTGGCAGGCAACTAACGCTCCCACCAATTTCCATTGTCATCCAAAAATTTGCTCACTCGACCAGTGTGTAACGACAGCAAAGGGGGAAGGAGGGAAGGGAGAGGGAAGAGAGGGCTAAGGGGAGACTTTAACCATAGAAAACTAAACCCTCCTTCACCCTGCTCTTAGGTCGCAATTGGTCTGTGATCTTTAGTAGTCTAGAAGACTCTCATACAGTAGTTTCTAAAGGGGGGGTTAAATTAGCTCTAGGGTAAAGGGAGATTACGTGTGGTTTTGTGGCTTTTGCCGGGTGATGGGTTTAAGCCCTTGTTGTCTGGCTAATGGGTGAACGTGGGAGGAAGTTCGCGCTAGTTGAGAGAGAACAGATGGGAAGTGTTATTGTTCTTCAGGGCCATAGAACAACTGATGGGAAGTGTGTTATTGTTCTTCAGGGCCATAGAACAACTGATGGGAAGTGTGTTATTGTTCTTCAGGGCCATAGAACAACTGATGGGAAGTGTTATTGTTCTTCAGGAGTAGAAATCTCAGAGACATTTCCCTAATATTTTTTTTAGGTAATGCGAAACTTTTTTTTCTTTTAAATTGTATCCACCAGCGTCTCTCTCTCTCTCTCTCTCTCTCTTAGCTCCTGGTCGATCGTTATCATGAAGAAGAAAAAAACAAATAAATATTCAATACAGGAATCAGATAGGAGTGAAAGAGAATGATAGAGGAAATGAAAGGAGGGTGAGAAATGAAGCGAAAGAAGAGGTCATGAGTAGAAATGAATGAAAGAAGGATAGGCAAGGGAAGGAAGGAAGGAAGAGAGGAAGGAAACGAATGCAGAAGGCAATAAGGTCATAGAACGAAGACAGAGAATGACAGGAAATAGAAATGTGAATGTGGTGTGAGATTGGAGGGGGGTGGGGACCTGCAGTCAAAGAAAACGGAGACTAATGAAGGGTTAACTATACTAAAGGGATGGTTGTCAACACTGAGCGAGTCTCTTTGTCATTCAGGTCAAGTTTTACACCTGTTATTATCTCCTGTGTACTTATCTGAGGCTTTACCACACCTGATTGTTCATGAATATCCGTCTGGTTTGTGTAAATATATATCTGATTGGCTGGTTTGTGTTGATATACCTCTGATTGGCTGGTTTATGTAAATATACCTCTGATTGGCTGGTTTATGTGTAAATATACTTCGATTGGCTGGTTTATGTGTATATATCTGATTGGCTGGTTTATGTTGATATAGAGAGGGGGAAATAAAAGAGTGTGTGGAAGTGTGTAGGTAAAGACATGAAAACCAGGAGGAGGGGAGAAGAGGTAGGAGAGGAAGAGGGGGAGGAGGTGGAGAAGACGAGGGTAGAAGAAGAGGAGACGAAGAAAGAAGAGGCGGAGGAAGAGGAGGAGGGTAAGACGAAGGCGGAAGAAGAGGAGGAAGAGGCGGAGGAAGAGGAGGAGCCAGAGACGAATATTGCTGAAGAAGAAGGAAGAAGAAGGAAGAAGAAGAAAGAAGAAGAAGAAAAAGGAAGAAGAAGAATCTCTCTCGAGTATAACATAAACCCAACCTGAGGAAAGAGAGACAGACAGACAGACAGACAGACAGACAGACAGACAGACAGACAGAGAGGTATATATACATAGAGAGAGAGAAAGAGAGAAAGATACAAAAGGAGAATGAAAGAGAGGGAGACAGAGAGACAAAGACACCCAGAGAGAAAGACAGAGGCAGAAACAGAGAAAGAGAAAGGGAAACGGAGAAAAACAGAAAGAAAGAAAGAGAGAGAGAGAGAGACAGAGAGAGAGAGAGAGAGAGAGACAGAGAGAGAGAGAGAGGGAGGACACACACACACACATTCTGCCTGCCTCAGCTTCTCACCAATATACCAGACCACATTTCCACACACACACACACACACACACACACACACACACACACACACACACACACACAAAGTGGACGTAAAATTCAATTCCGACGGTTTGTCTCATGTGATCGACTCGCTACGGTAATCTAGTTTAGAACGGCGACAAGTGGACATCTCTGCTTACCTTCGATTTAGCTGCCGGCCTGGTCAGTGTAGGGTTAGTTTCCACACACGACGACCACCACCAGCCACCCTGAACAAGAGGGAAGGAGGAGGAAGAAGGAGGAGGAAAAATAAGGGAGAATGTTGAAGAGAGAGAGGAGGAGAGAGAAGGAAACTGGACTAGAAAAGGTCTGAAGTGAGGAGGAAGAAAATGAAAAAGGAAGGGAGGGAGGGAGGAAGGGGGGACGGGGAAGTAGAAGAAGGAGGTAAGAGGGAAAGAAGAGAAGGAGGAGGGAGTAGTAAGAGGGAGTAAGTAAGAAAGAACGAGGAGGGAGAATGGAAGAAAGAAAGGAGAAAGAGAAGTAGGAAGATGGGGAGAGGGAGAATGGAAGAAAGGAGGAGAAGGGAGAGGAGAAAGGAGGAAGAAAGAGGAAAAGTAGGAGAAGGAGAGAAGAATGAAAAAAGTGGAGAATGATGAGAGGGAGGTGGAGGAAGAAAGAAGAAAGGTGGAGAAATAGAAAGAGGAAGAGAAGTCTATGGTAATAAAAGTAATAACAGAATAATCTCGTAATAAGGAATAAATAATAAGACCTTAAATACATATACAAAAGATTTAATATATATACATACATAGTTATATATAAATTGAAAAAATAATAATAATATAATATACACATCATACAAACATAGTAACAATCTGAATGGCTTTGTCGGGAATCCTTAGTCGAATTGCCTTAGGTTTTAATCTTGTTGTATACATGTACTGTCTATATGCTGTACCTGTATACACACAACGTCTATGTATACCGTGTATACCCTAAGTTGTCTAAATACATTTTGCCAAGAGTTCACTGTTCCTGAGAGTTTTATTTTAATTGCTTTTCCCTCGCAGATGAAGGAAGGAATTGTCACAAAAGTTTCTTGAAGAATAATGAAGAAATATTATGCTTAGCGAAAAAATCACAAATCCTTGGCTACGTTTTTGTGTGTGTGTGTGTGTGTGTGTGTGTGTGTGTGTGTGTGTGTGTGTGTGTGTGTGTGTGTGTGTGTGTGTGTGTGTGTGTGTGTGTGTGTGTGTGTGTGTGTGTGTAAAACGCAATTTGCAGTTTGTACTTATTTTTGGAACGGTTGCATATTAAACACCGCAGCTTATTTCACATGAAGATTAATCACCCTAATTCTACCTAAAGGAGTTAGGTTAGTTTACACCACTACACTGTCACACCGTCACTACCCCGCTCATATATTACTTGTTAAGACAGGTCCAAATAAAGGAACATCTTCATATATGTGAGAGTCGGCTCGAAGCTGAAGCCGGTTACGAAATGGATCAAGCTGACCCTCCCATTCAACAGGTTGTGAGTTGACATAATCTGATTCAATAACATTCACGTAAATCGGTTCACTTACGAGACCTGTGGAAGTTGTTTCGGGCAAATTTAAGAAGGTAGACTTCGACTGAGATTGGTTCTGTAGTGCTGTCGTACTGAGGAGGTTGGCTGGGCTGACACTCCTGGTTTGTTGCTTCTCGTTTATGAAGTTGGGTTGAGTGATGCGCGGGGAGAGCTCGGGTGTCCTGTTACCAGTACCGTTGTGGGTCAATGAGGGTGATAGGGTAGATGGTGGCCCGTGGGATGTCTCTGGTACAGGAGAAAGAGGCTCCTCAGGGCTTAAATTCTCTTTTCTATTTATCCTGGAGAATTTCAGGCGAAAACGGAGGTAGAGAGCATACAGAAGAGCACATAGTAACAGTAGAAACAATATGCCAAAGCCAACTCCAATCCCTATACTGATGAGGTTCTTGTTCGTGTTTTGTGGGTCCGTCATGACTCCTGTTGATGAAGAAAGTGCATTAGTAACTTGGTATAGGAAGTACAGACTCAAAGTGTCCGAAAGAATATGAAACATCAGGCGAAGAACACCTCAATCCAACCTAAACTAGAGGCGTTAATGTGTCTGAAGTTATCGCTCGACTTCTATTCCATCAGATATCCTTGGGGTATAGATACTTTTTGGGGGTTGGCTGTACATTAGTCTAGTTGTGTGTGTGTGTGTGTGTCACTGTACTCTAATATAAATGACTGTAATGGTTGTCTCTCTCTCTCTCTCTCTCTCTCTCTCTCTCTCTCTCTCTCTCTCTCTCTCTCTCTCTCTCTCTCTCTCTCTCTCTCTCTCTCTTTCTCACCTGATCTCTTAGTTGTGTCGTGTCTTCGGTTGTCTTGATGTACCCTTCACCCAGCTTACACCACGAATTTCATACGAAGTCCTCACCTATCTTGCTCCCATACACCTTGACGAGTCTGTAGACAGTCGTGTATCACCTAAAATAACACTCAGCATTAGGATCTAGTTAATTTATATTTATTATTGTCATAGGATGCAGCTTCCTATGGCAAGAGATTCGGTTTACTGTTATTATCATTTCAGGAAATTTTATGGTTGTATTTTGTGAGGAAATAATTTAATTTTAGATTTCTTTTTTAAATACTTATTAAGTAATATATATATATTTATAGAATGTATGTAAACAACCAAGAAAGGAAGAAGAATGGAGAGAGAGAGAGAGAGAGAGAGAGAGAGAGAGAGAGAGAGAGAGAGAGAGAGAGAGAGAGAGAGAGAGAGAGTAAGAAACAGACATAAAGATGAATAGAAACAAACACAGATAAAAAAATTTGAAATACGTATAGGTAGATAGAAAGAAACGCAGAGAGACTGAAGAAAGAAAGTCTGAGACAGAAGAAAAGAGAGAGAGAGAGAGAGAAGAGGAGAGAGGGAAATAAAAAAGAAAACAGGAAAAAAGAGAGATAAAGAGAGAAAACAGAGAGAGAGAGAGAGAGAGAGAGAGAGATTACTCAAGTCACATTGTTGATCTGACCTTCAAATACAGTATATAGTAGAGTCCTTTATATCTCCCACAGCGGCCCCCCCACTGTGACGGCTCACTACCACCAGGTCACCAACAACACAACTTCAAGAGAAAAGGTTATCTGTCGTCTTTACTCTCTTAGTACACTGTCGGGACGTATAGATGAATCGTGCAGAAACAATTAAAAGTATCACACACAATAAGTCTTTTCAATTGAGATAGTTCTGACGGGTTGAGGAGCAAACAAAGACAAGTCCGCTGTCTCTCACGCGTGGTAAAAGACTGCTGCGTCAAACTACTTCTCAACACAGGAAGGATATGCTGATAATACCTCATACCCAGACACTAACGCAGCACATACCACCTTAAATGCAACAGTTATTTTAAACCTGATTTTACAATGACTTAACCAAAAAAAAAAAAAAAGTTGTTCCTCGTTGAAATATCATGATTGTGTTTAAAAATTATTAATATATATTAATATTTATTGAGGGATTTGTTGAGTGTAGTAATTTGGGGTTATAATGCCGTATTCAGTGTTGGTCTAAAATCTGGGTTTTACGTCAGATAACAAAGAACTTCTAGCCACGTTATGTTGGTTAATTCTCGATCAGTTTATTTTACGGTATTGTATTTGTTATTTATATTTTTATTGACTGTTAATATTTTCCAGTTTGTTATTCCTTATGGTAAAAACATTACACTAATATGTACACATGCCCATATGTATGCACCTTACATAAATATACACATACATATAAATACATTCACACGACACATAGAATATATACATACCGAAAGATATACAAACATAGACACTCATATACATAAACCACACCCTGTTCTTGACTAGTTTTACCCACCATAAACCACACCCTGTTCTTGACTAGTTTTACCCACCATAAACCACACCCTGTTCTTGACTAGTTTTACCCACCATAAACCACACCCTGTTCTTGACTAGTTTTACCCACCATAAACCACACCCTGTTCTGTTCTTGGACTAGTTTTTACCCAATTACAAAACCACACCCTTGTTCTTACCTAGTTTTACCAAATTATAAACTACACCCTGTTCTTGGACTAGTTTTACCCACCATAAACCATAATCTAAGTTCTTTTAATTAGTTTTAACTTTCACCATATAAACTACAATCTCAAGTTTTGGACTAGTTTTTACTCACCATAAACCACACTGTTTCGGATTAGTTTTACCCAATTATAAACTACACCCTGTTCTTAATTAGTTTTACCTGCACTATAAACCACACCCTGTTCTTGACTAGTTTTACCTCCACCATAAAACCACACACTCTGTTCTTGACTAGTTTTACCCAATTATAAACCACACCCTGTTCTTGACTAGTTTTACCCACCATAAACCACACCCTGTTCTTGACTAGTTTTACCCACCATAAACCACACCCTGTTCTTGACTAGTTTTACCCACCATAAACCACACCCTGTTCTTGACTAGTTTTACCCACCATAAACCACACCCTGTTCTTGACTCGGTACCATCAGGATGTCAAAAACTTATTAGTCATGGTAGGTGTGTCGTTAAAGGTGATTTGAGTCATTAAATATTAACGAGAAAGAGATGGTTAAGAGGATTTATTTCGAGTCTTGGTTCATTGTTAACTCAGTTCTGTGGTGGCTGTCTGCGGCCATCACATCCAAAGGGTATTTAGTATTTATTCTGGGTTTGTTCCTCTCTACCTCCACACACTCTTCCCCACACAAACATGATCCCCCCCTCCCTCCCTAACCCCCCTCCTCCTACCTCATGTCACCACCCCCCACCACCACCAAAATCCCCCACCCTCCTCCCCTTTCTCCTTACCTCCATAAAACACCACCTCCCTCCTCCTCCTCCTCCACACTGAAACATCCTTCCATTGTGTAGAAATGTATGTATCTGGGTAACGTTTTGTAATCATGTTTAACAGTACGCATTTTGGGGACCATTTTTAGAACTTATGTGTCTGGGATCGCATGCTGTTACGCAGAACAGCTAAAGGTTAAAGGACACACACACACACACACACACACACACACACACACACACACACACACACACTGGGGGATATGGTCGTTATTCTCTAGTCGTCTTACCATACTATATCTCATTCGTGGCGTTAATCTACTTATAAACGTATCTTTTTTTAATATCTTAATATAGTGTAACTTTATGAGAACCACAACATTTATTTTTTTTATTTTTTGTGTGTTTTTCTAAGTAAATTTATTCTCTCCTAAATAAACCTTAAGAGGAGATGTTTCTTTGCCTTATATAGGATGCTAAAAATATTTGTAGAATGACGGTATGTGTCTGTGTGTGTGTGTGTGTGTGAGTATGTATCCGGCGGAAGTTAATGGACACATGACTTACGGACTCCCAAATATACGTACAGTACTTGATATAGTTATGATATCAGATACACGAACAGAACCCGATAGTGACCTTAAACTTGGGTTAAAGATAGAAATAGCCTGAGTGTGGTCATAGTTGCCACATCTAATATAGTAAATAGGTCTTTATTATTTCTCACCATTATCAGTTATCAGTATCAGCCATTCATTACCACCATCATCACTACCACAACCACTCACCACTCACCACCATCACTACTACTCACCACCACCATCATCACTCCCACTCACCACCACCATCATCACTCCCACTCACCACCACCATCATCACCACCACTCACCACCACCATCATCACCACTATCAACAACCAGTCACCACTACCAGCCATGAGTCCTCTTCACCACTAAATACCTTCTCTTGGTCAATAGGATAATTACTAGCTAAACTGGGATAGCTACTAGCATCACATAGACACTTGCTGACACCTTTAATTAGTATATCTCAGGTGTGTTATTGAAGGTAAAGTCAGGATCATTTTATTCAACTGAGAAAAAACTGACAAGGGAGAAGCACTGGGAAGAGGCAGAAGCACTGGGAAGAGGGAGAAGCACTGGGAAGAGGGAGAAGCACTGGGAAGAGGGAGAAGCACTGGGAAGAGGGAGAAGCACTGGGAAGAGGGAGAAGCACTGGGAAAGAGAAGAAAGGGGACTTGGAAGGGTAGGAGACTCCCCTTTCCCACCTCTTTACCAATGCTTAAGACTCCCCTCACCCCTTCCCGCTTTCCTCCCCTTAGTATTACTCCCCTAAACCTGCGTCCTCTCCCTCTCCCTCCCTCCCTTCCTCCCTCCCCACCATATTAACACGCCTCGCCACTCCTCAAAGCCGTGGTTGGGAGGGAGGGTTGTGTGGTGGTGGTGGTGGTGGTGCAGTGTGAATGGCTGTAACGTGAGTCCTTAGACAGTCACCACCACAGTCACCCCCACCACAGTCGCCACCACCACAGTCACCACCACCACCACAATCACCACCACTCATTACACCACTCGTTATTATCCCGTTTAACACCAAGTCTATATAATTACCCTGAAGGTGTAATTTAATCCCAGGTTAAACAGTCTATGGACGGTAGTTAAGGTAATGAATCTACTAAGTTCAACAAGGTACACATAAAGATGGTTTTCTAATGACGACCATCAGAGATTTTCGATTCAATAGACGAGTGAGGCGCTTAGTTCCTTGTGGTTATATTCGTTGTAAATGAACCCCATAGTGTTAAATACAGTTTCAATGGCGGTGTTTTGTGAAGCGTTCGAAGGATTGGGGACGCGCGTGTGTGTGTGTGTGTGTGTGTGTGTGTGTGTGTGTGTGTGTGTGTGTGTGTGTGTGTGTGTGTGTGTATGTGTGTGTGTGTGTGTGTGTGTGTGTGTGTGTAAAATCATAACATCAAAGCTAGTGCCTAATCTTCATGTGTTCCGTTTTTCTTTATAGTCAGCAAAATACTAATAATAATAATAATAATAATAATAATAATAATAATAATAATAATAATAATAATAATAATAATAATAATAATAATAATAATAATAATAATAATAATAATAAATCATCCAGGTAAAGGTGTCAGGTAACTTGCCTTAATAACAGTCTTCCATTACCATAAAAAAGGTAAGGAAAATATAACACAACTAATAACTATAATCTAGTATATGGAGGATAATAAGACACTCTATAATTAGGGTTTATCTACGTCAAGACCAGAGGATGTGAAGGAAACGTTTTCTGACGTCATCTCCTTCCTATTTCTCATGTGGTGACGTCAGATAAACGTAAACACCAACATTAAAAAACAAACAAACATATAAAACATTTAAATTTAATTTTATTTCTTAAAAAAACACCAATGGGTTAATTTTTACAGATGTGTGAGTGTGTGTGTGTGTGTGTGTGTGAGTGTGTGTGTGTGAGGTGTGTGTGTGTGTGTGTGGAGTGTGTGTGTGTGTGTGTGTGTGTCATAGAGGAGACATATTGAGAGCCATGTTTGAAGTACAGGATACCTCAAACAGTATATCACCATAACAGGGTGTCCTACAAAATGTTATATACTGGACAGTGTTGGGGGGTGAAGGATTTTAATCTCTCGGTCCTACATCCGTTCTAAGGTTCATCATCACTACTACTACCACTACTACCACTACTACTACTACTACCACTACTATCACTTACTACTAATACTACTACTACTACCACACCACCTGTCACACCATCATTATCATCACCACCACTACCTCTCGCTTTGTATGTCTGCCATATATACACAGGAAACACCATCTATGATAAAATATCACACCACACCCCACCATGCCCACACCCCACCACACCACTCCTACCACAATTACACCACACTCCCACTCCCACTCACACCACACACCCCACACACCACACCCCACCACACCACACCACACCACACCCTGCCACACCACACCACACCACACCACACCACACCACACCACACCTCACACCACACCACACCACACCACACTACACCACACCACACCACACCACACCACACCACACCACACCACACCATAGTTATCTCTCACAGGATATGATATATTGTTTTTGTTTCATTATATAAACAAGGTTAAAGTTACGGGCAGCAGCTGTCAACATGGCGACCTTGGCTCTCCAGGAATATCTAAATAAAAATAAATAAATAAATAAATAAACTTAATAAAGAAACTTAATGATGTAAATTTTTGAAAGGGGGGAGAACAGGTATAAGTTAATTAGTACAGACATAAGAGGTGTAAAAAAAACTGTTCCCAGGTGTGATATCTTTTTATCGAGTATTAGTTCACCTATTGGCCACAACAACAACAAATAATATATTAATA